ACAAATCGAGAGTTCGTGTCTATTGCATTTCATATTGTATATAATTGTCTATTGTTCTTGAAAGTGTTTGCATGATATGTTAAGAATGAATTATGAATTATTTGCATTACAATCATGTGGAATGTGTATTTGTTTGTAAAGTGCTTCTTTTATAAAATGCTATGTTGTGTGTGTGACTATCTATCGTTTATCTTATGGCATGAGCTAGAGTGAGAAATTTCCCACTCTTTTTATTTTCATGTCTTTGTTGTGATGTATGTTGTAGTAGGTAATGCTCATCAGAATATTGATGATGTTGGTGATGAGACTTGGACCTTGTATTGGAAATGCTTTGATAGGATATGTGATATTAGGGCTCAAACTAGGATTACTTTTTACATTATGATTATAATAAGACTCATGTTTAAAGTTGAATTTCTACAATTTATGGTTTTGTTTTGAGAGATATTTATGTGACTCTCTTTACCTTGTGTTGGAGTTTATGTTTTGTTAATTATGCATGAATTTTAGTATTCTTATATCTATTATTTTTCTAAATATAAGTATACATGTATACAGGATAGATGGTGTCATATTTTAAACTATTGGATGTTTTGACTAGCATGAGGATGAAAGAGGTTGCCACAATGTTGTAGAGTTTTCGACGTAGAAGAAATAGAAAGATCTGGGAAAGTTTTACCTATTCTACATTATAAACATAGTGATTTCATATAAATTGTTGTTCTTTGAGTGTTAATTTATATATATACCAATAGGGTTTGGCCAAGGATAAAATCAAAGGTTCCTCATATCTCTGTCAAGGACTATGTAAATAAACATTTCAAGAATATAGTAGAACACTAATCAAAGGTAATCGAATAGTTATTGGGCCTACCACTAAGGTCTAAGAACATGATTCATTAGAAGTGTGAAAGTGTTATGTGCATTAATAAGCCCAAAGGACATAACAAGCCACTCATATAATCGAAATTTAGTTTTGAAAGCGGTTTTCCATTCATCTCTTTCCTTGATTCTTATTTGATGATAACCACTTTTGAGATCAACTTTGGAAAATATAGTTGCACCATGGAGTTTGTCCAACATGTCATCCAACCTAGGGATTGGGTGCCTATATTTAACAGTGATGTTATTGATAGTCCTACAATCATAACACATTCTCCACTTTCCATCCTTTTTGGACACTAACAACACACTGGAACAACACAAAGATTAAGACTATTTTGAATCTGGCCCATCTCTAAAAAATCATGAACTTAGATATATAATTATGCTATAAGAATGACTCTATCTTTTTTCATTGGCTAGTGTTAGATTACATGGGTTACCCAAAATAATAGTGTTTGTTAGGGATGCTAAGTTTCATAGTCATTTCAAGAGATCTCTCTAGGGTAGATTAGGAACCAAGCTTGTATTCTCTACTACTTATCCCCCACAAATTGATGGGCAAATAAAAGTAGTCAATAGATCTTTATTTACTATGTTGAAGGTACTTCTTAAAGGCAAACATAAGTCTTAGGATGAATATTTGCCTCACATAGAATGCATATAACAGGATGGTCCATAAATACACCAAACAATCTTCTTTTGAAGCTGTTAAAAAGCTACATGAGAGGGTTAAAATCCAAATAGAACAACAAATTGAAAAATATGTTAAATACAACAACAAATGGGGAAGAGAAGTGATTTTACAAAAAAAAGATTGGGTTTGGCTTCATTTAAGAAAAAATAGATTTCCTACTCAAAGGAATTCCAAACTCAACCCTAGAGTAGATGGTCCCTTTCAAGTCCTAAAAAGAATCAATAATAATGAACATAAGCTAGATCTTCCGAATAAGTATGGAGTAAGTAATACATTTAATATTTGTGACTTAACTCCTTTTGCATGTAATGAAGATATAGAGGAAGAGCCTAAAAATTTGAGGACAAATTCTCTTGAAGAGGGAGGATATGTTGACATATTTCTTCCTAAAGACTCTATTACAAGGATAATGTCAAAAAGAATACAATTGGAATGAGCTCGTGATGAAGGTAAAAGGTTTAAACTTCTTTTGAATTATAGGTTAATTACTTACTCCATTTCTTCTTTATGTATGTTCTTACCTGAGATCGGTTACAGGGACGATCTGCTGGCAAGATCGGTGAGCCTCCTCTGCTCGGTACGTCGGCCGCTCCGAGATGGGTTAGGTACCTGCAAAAGAGACTCTGATGCTTAAGTTAGTCTTTGATGGTGTGAATGTCTCGTATGTATAGTGAATGTACCTCAATGTGAATTAGGGTTTTTCTCTTGGGCGAGGGTAAGGTTGATCCGCGCCAGCAGCTGATCGTGGCCCAATAGGCAATGGGCCTTCGTGTTGATCGATGTCGTGTAGCGCTTGGATACCGAGCTCAGTCTCGGTATCCGACGTGGATAGTACAATGTATATTTTTCATTGTCAATATTTTCTTATTTTTTTACCATGTATTTTTGGGTCAATTAGTATAATAAATTATTTTCTTGTAATTCTTATTTTAAAGGTGTAAACAATATTTTTGGAAGATGTAACTAGAAAATGATATGTGTGCTTATTGGGCTTAAATGACCCATGAGAATACCATTTGGACGTGTAGATCCATGGAATGGCCATCCACTTTTGTTAGACAAGGTGCTCTCTTGGTTATTCAAACTCCAACAAGCACATGTACTATACCTAGTCATAGTTTTGGTACCTTGTCATATACAATCTCCCATTGACTCTTCTAGATCTAAAATGTTGGCATGAGTCACACTTCTTACACTTATCATGTAGTAAACTTCTATTGACTCTTCTAGATTTAAGGTTTAGGGTTCATGATCCCTAACAAACATTATTATTTTAAAATAAATACATTTATTTCCTTTAATTTTAAAAATACAAAATTTTAGTCCTCATCAAATTGAAATTTATTAATCGTTAAGTTTTAATATTTACTTATACTTCAATAATGTGACATTTAGTAACATAAAATTAAAAAATAAAAAATTAACAAAAAAACAAACAATTTTTTTATTATTAATAAAATAGGTATAGATCATCCGTAAAAATATATATAAATAAAGAATTTTTGTATGTCAAACCCAGTCTCGATTTTAGTAGAATTTTTAACTAAAACTAAGATAGAATGATCATTTTTTTTAAATAAATTTTCATAACCAACCTTAAATTTTCTCTTAATTATTTTCAATTTTTAATTACGAACACAGAATAATAGGGTTTTGTACTTGGATTCAAAACTCAATACACACATGACATTACATAAAATAATATTATTTTAGTATGTAAGTATTGAAAGCATTCTTGTGTCTCTCAAAAGCTAAATATTATTAAATGTCACTAATAACAATTAGTTGACACTCGAAACAAGATGTTCGCTTATAAAAAATCATTTGGCTTATATTTTCTGTTATAAATGTAGTATAAGGCCAGTGGCGAGCAAAGGATGGGCTCGCACAGATTTAATTTTGTCCTTATTCGGCCCAAAAGATTTAATCATGCTATTTATTTAAATTAAAATTTAATCTGATTAAAACTCAAGATAACAAATCGGATCAATTTAATGTTTTAATTCAATATATCAATATTAACATATGTATAATTAAATTACGAGACAAAAAAATACAAAAATTAAATTAAAGTATATTTTATGATATATTTTAAAATAAATAATTACTATAAATATAATATAATGTTAAATAAAGTATTATCTATTTTTATTAATATATAATTATTTAAATATTATACATTTAAAAAAAATGAAGGATGGGTTGAAATGATCTAAAACATAACTCGAATCCATCCTTAAAAATTATATGGGATCTAATTTTAAGATCCAAATCCATCCAGAAACTGAGTTGAATCCGTGAACTTTGCTCACCCCTTGTATAGGCTGTAATCGAATCATCCATTCAAAATTGAACTACAATCAACAAACACATGAAAAACAAGGTAATACTGACTTTGATCTCACATTCTGAATTAACAAAATTTCAATACGTTGTTCATAATGAAATAGCTTGAAAAGCCCTCGATAAATTTCAAAATCGCTAGAAGCAAAAGGTGAAAAAATAAATAGCTTGAAATCTTGTTTTTGCAAGAAAATAGAGGGTATGCTAACGAAAAATTTCAGTGATATATAACTCAATTTCTGGTGAAACTTGATAAAGTAATATCATAGTTATATCAAACAGTTATACAAATTTTTAAACACAACAAACAATGGAAAGAAAAAAAAATCAAATCAAGCAGACCCTAACTTTGCCTTCAAATTGGGGTTGTAACGGGCATACAAATTTCAGTGATATATAAATCAATTTCTGGTGAATTTTTATAATGTAATATCACAGTTATACAAATTTTTAAACACAACAAACAACGGGGGAAAAATCAAATCAAGCCAGACCCTAACTTAGCCTTCAAACTGGGGATGTAACGGGCATAGATTCCTCCTTGTCACTCATTGAAGTCATCTTAGAGGCAAAAATAGAGACTTGATCTATTCCATTTAAGCTCGTACTTTCCAATTCTAAGCTTGTTAGAAGTCACCTCATCATTTTTGAAACTCCTAAACATCACTTCATGTTTGGGAACAGCCTTCAGTCATGCACTAACGGATGATTATCTAAATTTGATCGATGTTCATTTCATCATTTCTAATTCTGGAAGCAACAAAAGTATAAAAAAGAAAAAAGGAATGCAGTTACCCATATATCACAAGACTACATAGACCACAGTATATTTTTCAAGTATGTTAGTGACTACCAGTTACTATGCTCCAGTAGTTCTGCCATATACGTGGCTCATGGCACATCATAACTTTGCCCTGAATCATTGGAATCCGTTGTTGAGTGATTTTGGCAGGAAAAAGAACAAAGGATAAATTTATTTTTTTAAATTAAGAGAATTAAACAACATTTATAAAAAAATTCCTCCATTCCTTTTTTCCATCAAAATCTAACCCTCAAATTCTAAATAAAGATAAGCTGGTTTATAAATGTAAACAAGACAGCTATTTCACCGATAAAAGATGACAAAAACACTCTTTAGAGTTCACGACAAACTGGTATCGACTAACACAATAGAAAAATCTAAAATATTAGCAACCTCTATGCAGTACCTGTTTTACAAAATAGAAACCCCAGTCTATATGACAAGCCTGAAAATATAGTATCTTATTTTCTCAAAGAATTGTATATTTAACTCTTCTATTACATTTGAAACACATTTGGCTGGCATCTGTAACAAACCCCAAAGATTCTCTTAAATACAGAGCATACATTTTAGAGGATTCGGTCCTGAAGATCCGTCATCAATGTGGAGGCCAATGAGGTGAGCTTCTTTCCAGTCTCTCCTGCAATGTTCTTAAGGGAAGAGAGATCCTGTTGTGCCTGCAAAGTAAGGATACACGAACAATGATGAGGTTACTAATTTGAATATCATTTCGTTGTTGGAATGATAGATGACATGAACAATGAAATTCGCAAATCCAGTACAAAGTAAGGAATACCTGGAAAGATAATCGATTGATGAGGTCGCCAGCAGTGAGATCAATGGAGTTGTCTCTTGAGTCACCAAAAAGATCAGCACTGGAAATGGCAGTTGAACCCTGGAATTAACAAGAGGATAAAAAGTGTCATGTATCAAAGTTGAAAACACACCCCTTTTCCTATTTTTCTTTTTCCCAATCCTGGTTAAAAGACGCAATAACTTGCATTTAACAATTTATTCGAGCTTGGCAGCAACTCATCTAGAATAGTACATTAAACAAAAGCATGATTTTCCCCATAAAGAAGGAAATTTAGTCGGTAGAAGAGAAAAATTATTAAGTCAAAGGATGATAAGAATTCCTTCTACTAAAGAAAAGAAAAGAACAAAGCAAAAACCAAAGAAAACTGAATCAACTGAACCAAACTTCCAAATCTTTCCACATATCTATGAGTGAAATCACATTAAGAAGCCCGTGTGCTGTACACCAAATAAATGCCAAACCTATTCCTACCCAAATATAACAATCTGCAAAAGGAACACCAAATATAATAATCTGCAAAAGAAACCCAGGAATCATATTATAGATGTGAATTGGAAGAATCGCTTGCTGAGCATGAATTGTGATTCTAGTGTGAGCAGGTCGTGCACCAAACTGGGTCATACACGACCTGGTTCTGAGATGCCCTAAGGAAACTTCCCTCCTAAAAATTAGTTAAAAAGAGACAGCTCTGTTGGGCAATGCCTTCGCTTGCTTGCAGTCGTACCAGGTACCAGGTATTTTTCTTGAGTTTGAGACGATTATATCTTGAACAAGTTTCAAAAAATGAAAATATTTATGTTATAGTTTTTTTAAAAAAATTATCCAATTATCCTTAAAAAATTTAATATATATTTTTTATTCAAAGTACATTAGAAATACAAATAAATGGGACTGCTATATTTTAATATTTTATTTAAAGTATATTTTAAGGTATATTTTTTAAGTTAAAATGCTCCTAGATTTATGTTTTATTTATTGATCACTAATTTGTGCTTTAATATATGTATTTGTTAGTTATATATAGTACTATATTTTATTATTGATCATGAAGTTTTTCATTCATAAAATGGTTTGATTTGCAATTTGGAAAATATGCCTTCCGATTCACAACTTGAATCTCAATTCAATTACCATGAACTAAAATTGGTATCGGTATCCTTTTCAGGGCATGACTACGGTTTTCTCCACTCGGACACACATAGCTATGGTTAAATGACAAAAGGAACCACTCAGTGTGCAAAATGGTTTATATCATGTGATTATCAGCATCCCACCTTTGCATGATAGAAACATGTAGTGTCCCAGTTAAAACAGTTGACTTGAGAAAAATACTAGTTGTCTATTTTTTTTGGTTGCTTAGAACTACCAAAGAAACATTTTACATAGACTCACCTTTCCTTTTACTGCCCAAAATCATTTATGCAAATTAGAACTTGTCCTTTCTCTAACTGACCTAATGGTGAATCTGAATGAATTTTAAGAAAATTCTTTTACAAGGGCTAAAGCAAGTTCTACACTAGATTGGGTAAATTCCAAGAAACAATTGAATGCAATGTTGTCAAAATCACAATCTAAATTGTAAACACGCAAGATACAATCCCAAACCCGTTCCAAGCTAGATAGTACATGAAATTGCTCATATAGGTGAGATTGGACCGAGATTGCTCATGGCCTCTATCTATCTTTCTTTTTCTTTTCCCTGAAACTCATGGGATGTGGTTTTTTTGGCAATTTGAGAATGCTCCTCTACTGCACCTTTTATTATATTCTTTGGGTTTTATGATATATCCGCTTTCTTTTATTTTTTTCATAATTATTATAAATTATAGAATAGACTGAGATATCAATAATACTAGTACAATATCTATAAAATAACACAAGTATAAAATACATATTTAAGTTTTTAACTGAAATTTAGTGTTATTATATGTATAAGCTAATTATACTATCATTTATTACACTTCTTTATAAAAACATATTTTTACAATTTGGTAGGATCTTACTATCCTTGTTAAGATCTAACAGTTAACAATCTTGCAGCCATCTTCCCGATCTTAAGTAGGAGCTATATCTTGACTAAATTGATTAAACGGATTACTATACATATCAATAACAAAGAAAATTAGCTTAACTATTTATATAGACATACTAAAGACACCGGAAAATGAGTTTCCACTTATAGAGATTAATCATTAATGGAGATTTATCCCTGAGGATGTGTACAGAAATTATTCACTGGCTTTTATCTATGATGATAATCGTTTCCATTGTCACAATCATCAAGGATAGTAAAATTAATCCCCATGGCTAGACAAAAGTATAGAAAACTATAACCCATATAACACAAATATAAATCTAGAATTACCTGTATCACTCTAAAAAGTTGCAATTTGATATTTTAGATAGTTAAGTCATTCTTATTTAAGACACGTTTACTTCAGTTTATTCTGAAGACAATTTTTGTTTAATTAAAAGATGTTTAAAAAAATTTGTAATAAATATATATTTTGAAAAGCTAGTTTGCTTGAGTTCAAAGCTAGTTGCTTACATAAAGAAGTCCTAAAATAAAAGTTGTATCACAATCTTTATAAGCTCCAAACAGACAGGCTCTAAATATTTCAGGGGATCAGTTTATTTGTTAATATAAGCTATGCCAATCAAAAGGATATGAGATAAGAAGAAGCCATCTGATAAAGCCTATTCCAGGGGATTGAACATCCGAGACCAACATAAATGTATTCACACACAATATGTTCCAGCAAGTTGCTAAAAGAAATGACACATACCGAAAACTTAGACAAAGTAGCTTGAGAATCCATATCAGCAGCTTTGTTCTGATCTCCAAAATATTGGGATGAAGAAATAGACTTGGCATTTGAGAACTTTCTTCTTGCTTCATCAGTTTCCTGAATCTTATGCCGGATACATAGCAAAACAAAACAAGGTGCAGGTTAAATGAATTTGTTAAAAAACAACATAAAGTAGATGTCTCAGATATGATTGCCCAATAATCTATTTAAGTCAGACTAGATAATACAAGAATTTTCACAGGTCACACAATATAAACCATGTAGGCATGTAGTTTTCGAAATAAAAATAGAACAGTCATTAAGATTTTGTGGCAACAATATGAATCTGTCCAAAGATAATCAACATCTGTCAGCAAATCATGATTAAACTATCTGAGTTTTAATTACTATTAAGGTTTGGTTGCGACAATAATAATTTGTCCCAATATAATCAGTATCTTTCAGCCGAAGACTGTAACATTGCTTGTTTCATGGTTATACTATTTCAAAGTTGCAACCACCATGTTTTGTTCCATGGATCTGCATGTTGTAAAAAGGGTTTAATTCAATAAAGACCAGATATTCATATATAACTACGTCCTGTATGCTAACTACATGCATAAGAAATTACACTCTGCAGGGGCAAAAGTTCATATAGCTTACTTGTACTTTGGAGGAGCTTGACCCAGATTTCTTTGGAAAGCCACCATCCATTCCAAAGTCTGCAAAGAAGCTTGACGACTTTGGTGGAGACACATGACTAATCAAATGTGAACCACCAGTGTTCAACTCAGATGATTGGACATTTTCTACATACTCAAACCGAGATGTGAGAGACGGCCCAGCAGGCATATTATTTGTGGAGGATGAAACTGGAGCAGGTGGTTCCTCAGGCTTCTGCTCATAGAGAGACTCACTTGGCTTCATTTCATAAGGATAATTTGTCAATAATTGATGTCATCATATTAAATTAGTGAATGAGATAATGAAAAACCAACAGGCAATTCTAGCATACATTTGCAAACAAAGATATCTATTTGCATACCTTTTTAACAAGTTTACGAGCACCAAGCCCCCCACTCTTCCCAGGTTTTTTAGCACCAATAGGTTTCTTGATGGTACTTGAAACTACTGTATGTGAAGCTCTAGGTGAAGAAGTGCTTTCAGGCTTTTCAGGCTTCTCCAGAGTGCTTTCTTTTGGCACTTCATTGGTCCTAACTTCAGGAAGCCCATTAACCCCCTGGGCAGACTGAGAAGCAACAGGTGATGAAGGTAAGCCTCCATCCTCAGCCATACTTTTAGCTACTTCCTTTGTAAGAATTTGCCTATATAAGTCTGCAGCTCTGGATGTATATTTAGCCTCTATTTTACCACCATCAGTCCAACCATGCTGCTTAAAGAAAACCTGAGCACGATTGTTTCCTCCAAAGCTCATCATTTTTAGTTGCTCGGGACTCCATGAGTCTAAATTTGTAGACCTACATATAGAAGATCATATGGTTATTTAGCTAAATAGCTATTAATCTTTTTCTGCCTTTTACTTTTCAACAACTTCTTAAATTTTGATTGTAGTGTGTTTCAAAGAATATCCAAGTAAAAGAATACAAATGCAGATACAGGGTGTGAAATTTTAATACAGTGATAAAACTCCCAAGTATTTAAATTACTCATGGAAAGCAGAATAAAATAAGAAATGAATACAGATCCTTGGGGCTCATTGAATCTACATATATAGCCTCTTCAGATTAAGAAATTATGCTTGCTTCCCCTATAATAAATTTTACAAGAAAAATGCCTACAGCCCAAAGTTTTCCAGGCAAATGTCCCTGAAAAACCAACTAGTCATTTTTTAATCTTTATTAAGTATCTATTCAGTTGCTGCTCCACTTTAAATCTTTATTCAACATGGCAACTCAAGGACCAGAGTAAAATAATTTTATAAATCAATAATCCTTCCAACCCTATTGAACGACAAAGTCATTTCAAGTGAATAATCTAATAGTGTATTTGGATGAAGAATTTTAGGAGTAATTCATTTTTTTGAGCTTAAAATTCTTTGTGGTGAAATATTTTGATTGGATAGAAAAATTAGAAAGAAATTGAAATTCTAGTAAATTGTGGAAGTATTTTGATGACTTAAAATTGTAGAATTATAAATTACACCTAGAAAGAATTTGAAATTCTTCATAATTACTTTCTATCTCTTGTCTCACCTCTGTATCTGTCCTCTATCCTTTCTCCCTCTCCTCTTATTTCCACCTCACCCTTCACTCTCTTATATCTCACCTCTTTTCCCTCACTCTCCTCTCCTCTCCTTTCTTCTCCTTTCTCACTTTTTCTCTCTCTCTCTCTCTATCTCCCCTCTCATCTCTTCTATCTTATTTCACTCTCCTTTCTCTTCTCTCCCTCTCTTTCTTTCCTCTCCTCTCTCTCTATCTTTCTTCTCTTTCCCCTCTCTCATCTTCTTTCCCTTTTCTCTTTATTCTCCGTCTCTCTCCTCTCTCTTCTTTCTCCTCTATCAATGTTGAGGTACAAACCATCAATAATTATATTCAAACATTCAATGTAAAACGTATTTTAAATTAATAAATATCTTTTAATATTAAAATCATTTTTAAATCGTTAAATTAAATATTGTTTAATATTAAAATTACTTTTAAATTATTAAATATATAAAATTGGCAAATGTTTATTTTTTGCCAAATTTTATATTAAATTTTGCATATGGTGAAACTTAAATTATCCCATCCAAACTAGGAATTTTGAATTGATTTATCCAAACAAAACATTTAATAAATGAAGGAAACTTAAATCAAAATAATTCAAGTTTTAAGAATTTGAAATTCCCTGAAATTTTAAAATTTCTCATCCAAACACAACCTAGAAAATAATAAAAGGAAATGGAAACAACAATGATACTTTCCCAGGCTTCATCCCCGCACTTTACAAACCCCTCACAATCACAAGCTCCCATGCAAACCATTAGATGATCCCAATGTTCCCCCGTAATCTATTTTTCTGCAGGAACCAGATGGATCCAGTTTCAAGTATGTGAGGACGAAGTCTGTTCAGGATTATTGCTAAATTTGAAAAGCTATATTCAAAAAATAGTTATATGCTAAGAATATAAAATTGAAATCTCCCAAAAGAAAAAGTATATCTCCGAGTCAAATATAATTCACATATCACGCACTATGTTATCCAGATTACCATTATAAGTCCTGCACTTCAACCAAACAATGAACATAAAATAAAACCTGTGTACCCTCGCTCAAAACTAACACAGCACATAAATACATACCAGCATTTATTTATTTTGAACTATTTCACGAGTACATAATCATTTAACCTTTTCAACCACAGATTTGAGAACTTAACTTTTTTATCTTAAAATTGGCGCCAAGCCCAAAGGAGGGTTGTACTAAGCCTTCAGCAGGAATGTAAATCTTGTCATAATGCCAAACATGGACTACTCAAGAGTCAAGAAAGATTATGCGTGCTATTGCTAGGCCATTATTCAAAAGTAACACAATATACTGCTCAAGTAAAATGTTAAATGAGTTGGTACAACTGCATCAGTGTCAAATTACCAAAGGTAGGTCTTTACATTTTTTGGGGATTGATGGGGGTAAAAAGCTAGTCCAAGAGTTCCTTAATTAGGTTTGGTAGTTGAAATATTGGTACTTTGACATATAAATCTTTGGACGTAATGACATCATGATACAAAGAAGGAATAACATCGTGTGTCTACATCAAACTGAATAGGTTAGAGATAAAGAGAAAGAGCCTAGCACTATAAGAGTTAAACTTTGGTACACAACACATGTAAACTTAAAGGAAAGAATGACATAGGTATTATTGTGGACAAGGTTTATAAAGAAAGTGCATTGAATGTAAAAAGGACTAGAGAAAAATTTATCTTTAAAATTAACTAGTATTATAGCATATGCGTAGCAAAGAATAAATATATATTTTTCTATAATTAAAATTCATAAAACTAAATATCTTTGAATAAATAAAATATTTTTTATTTATAATGAGCAATTTAAATTGTGACAAGAAAAAATTATTTTTAACTATTAACAATTTCTTTTAAAAATATTAAAATGTAATTTAGTGATATAGATAAAAAAATGATAGATTAAATGGAATAGGTGGCTGAAAAATCAAATATAGTAAAAGGAGAGTAGTTTGAGATGGTTCAGAAAGAATTTTTTGACTAGTGATTGAGGACAATGTGAAATGCACATCAAAATGTGAGAAAGATAATATTCAGAATGTCTAATTGAGAAATAGTCTCAATACGGAGTAGAATGGATGTGTGGGGGACTATCAATGTCATTGGTGTCTATTCACCACTAGTATCAGAAGCACTTTTAGAGGGTTGGTTCAAGGCTTTCCACAAAAGGGAAGAATCTCACAGGTGACAACATAAATCATGTTGGTTGTGATGCAAAGCAATTTACAGGATTTTATGATAATTTTGGATATCTATTCTTGATTTCTTGGCATATGAATTCAAGATTATTAAAAACTTGTTTTAAGAAGTAAAAGGAACATCTAATCACTTATAAGAGTGAAATCTCAAGGTCACAAATTAATTTAATTTTGGTAAGGAGTTCATAAGTTTGCAAGATGATTGCAAGAGAGTCTTACTACACAACGTAGACATTCATCTCCATTGTCATTAAAAATTACAAATCTAATAACAAAGGGATGGTGGCTTGAGAATGATAAAAATTCTTAGGGTGTGTTTGGAAACCAATTGAGTTCAACTCAAATGGGGTTGAAAAAATAAAAAAAATAAAAAAGATACACTTACAAGCATTTACCTTTTCTACATTGGAACATGTGTTTTTGGTTAAAAGTGGTTTCAAAGTGGTATCCAAACATACATTTAGCAGTGAAATGAATGTTTTCAAGATAAAGAAACTGAGTGGAATGATAGTGTTCAAAAATAGGTAAGAAAAAAAGGGAGTATTGTAAGGCCTTTCATGTGCGCAATGATGCTGAAAATTGGAGAAAAAAAATATTGGAAGGCTAAAAATGAGACATAGAAAGCTGCAAGTGAGGCACCATCCAAAGCTTTTTGAGTTTTACCAAGACCTTGGCACAAAGAACGGAAAATGTAGAATTCATTATTTTGCCGAACATTGGAAAAGGAAGTCAAGATGTATGAACCAGGTAAACTAAGGAAGAAGAAAGAAACGTTTGGTTATCGGAGGACATTGTACAACATTATTAAAAGAATATCATGGTAAATGCTGAATAATATCCCTCAAAAATTGATTTTTTAACCGAGTCCAATGGCATCAAGTAATACATATAGCCCACCTCATCAGCTAGTAGAATATTGAATCTTGTTATTCTAGTTGTAAACGACATATTAGAGGCCAAACTCTGGAGTCTGATTTCATTGTCTATTGAAGCTTTAACCAATTAACTTGGGGAACTCTAAAAGATGACACAGCACAGCAGTACAACGCAGTGCTCTAAATTAATCCGCATGAACATTCAGAACCCAGCATTACACCACACAACACTCACCATACAGAATCAGCCACACACAGTTAAATTGCAAACCGATAAAAACAATTTCCACACAGAAAAATCAACAAACAGATTCACCATTCAAACAAAATCAGCAACAACTTGCCTCACGAAGCTGATGTGCACGCCGAGACTACGATGAACGGCGGAGCAATCGATGCACAGGAAGATCCCATACGTGACGGAAGCCCAGGTAGGGTTCTTCGCATTGCAATCGAAACACATCTGAAAAAATAATAATAATAAAAACCGTACGAATTCAAAAATCTAACGCACGAGCACGGGTATCGCAGATCTGACACCAGATCTCGTAAATCAGAAGGCACAAACGAAAAATTGAGAGTAAAAAATAAATTCACGCAACCAGAGATGCTCTTAAATTGAAATTCAAAATTGTAAAGAACAAACCTTATTTTCGGACTTCGCCTTGAGTTTCCTAAACACAAGGTTCTTATCGGTGAAGCCTTCGGACGCCATTGGAAGATCAAAACGGAAAACAAAAACGAAATTATAATAACAACGAAGCTTAGGATTGGAATTGATATTTTTTTTCTTTTTGAGCTTTTTGCAAATGAATCTCAGGGGTGCTTAGGGGAACAGGAACACCACCTGAGCAATATAGATTGAGAGGAAGAAAATTTGCAGGTAGAACCGCAAAACTTGTTGTTTCGTGCGTTTCTATATATTTATTCTCCTCGTGTATCGTTCTTCTTAAAAAGGAGCTTTTTTTTTCACTAGCGAAAGGAAGCGAAGACTGAAATTACGGAAATGCCCTGCAGAGAAATGAGGGAAGGCGTTGTTGGCCTTTGTGTTTTCCGGAGTCGGTGAATTGTTGCTGTCCCTGACCAAGAGAGTACAAATAAATGTTCAGAATTGAACTAAACGTCGTCGTCTCTCCTAGGTATAATTCGTTTTTTAAAATGCTAGTGCCGTTAAAAATTAAAATATAGAACAAGAACATAAATAGAATATTTAATATAAATTTTTATTATATTTAAATAAAATTAATTAATATTTATTTTACATGTCAAATATTTAATGGAAAATATTAATGGTTAAATTAATTTTTTAATTTTATAATTTTGTCAAATTTTTATTTAGATATGTATAATTAAGAGTTTTTTACTCAAATAATATATTTTTAAAATAAATTTACCCAAATAGTACCTGTGCAAATTTATTTTCCCAACTAGCACCATTTATTGTTTACATATTTTTTATTTTTTTTTAGTCTTAGGTCTAGGTAATCTAGGAATTTTGCAATTAGAACGGCCCGTTCTGCAACCAGAACGACCCGTTCTACATGCATTCTCGTGGTGTTTTTTTTTGCAACTGGAACGGCCCGTTCTTAAACCAAAACAGGTCGTTCTAGAGTTGAGTTTTTTCACATAACCTCAATGTTGGAACGACCCGTTCTAACTAGAGATTTTAGCCCTTTTTAGTAGTTTGGAACAGCCCGTTCTGCCCAATTCTATGCACTACCCTTTATATTATCAATGTAATATGAATTTTAATGTTTAGCTTATAAACTATAATAATTATACATTATTTGGACATGTTTTCGTAGTGTGATGTGCAGGTTATCTAGATTTTCCATTATTAGTCACAATTTGACTCGTACAAGTTTTGAATCTATTAAGACAAGGTCCCATTATTATCATCTCATGTTTTTAAGTTTAAGACACTATAGTTTTATACTTCAAAGGTATTTCCTTTAAATCTAGCTTCAAACTTAACATTGCAGCGAACACAATTTACCCTTTCAACACAAATACAACATAGTCTCAAAGAGTAACATCAAGTAATTAAATTTATTGAATATTAACATTATAAATATAACTAAATAAATTTATTAAAACTCATTACAACAATAAAATCAATGGTGATGGGAACTAAATCCATGACCAATATTTGGACATGTCTTCCTAGTGTAACCAGAGGTGTGACAATAGGAACAATTTTTTACACGATTATGTTGTTCTCTAATATCCATCTCTGTTCTAATCCTGCTGGACTTTGGCCAACCCTTGGAAGTCCTCTTGAGTTCTGGATTTGGCCACATAGTTGGACCAGTGTAAGTAGGCCAATAATCTTCATGTCAGAGCTCTCCAAACTGTCCTTCGTATACCTTTGCAACTTGTTGTAAGGTATATATGGGAGATATGTAGGTTTGATAGTTGTGACGTGCATGTAAGCATGAAGGGAGTACATGCGAGCAAAGGATATGAACTTTCTGGAACTTGCCACAATCACACCACATTTCACCTAGCCTTACTGCAAATCTCCTAGCGGGTCGAACTTCTCTCGGATGTTGCGTTTCTTCCACTAGAAATCTAGTGCTTGATTTGTCAAAGGTGATAACTCTATGAGTATTTGCCTTGGACTGTGCATCTTGAATAGTTTTACTTGCAATTTTCGAGTAGACATGTCCAACATTAATCATTGCATCCACTTCCCTGCCTATTTGAACGAAAAACTTGTTGCAACGAGTGTATGTGGCCATTACCATGGAACAAATTGGCAGATTTTGTGTTTTCTTCAATACAGAATTAATAGACCCAGCTAGGTTTGTTATCATGTATCCTCGACGTCATCCATTATCCCATGCTAGTGTCCTTTTTTCCCTAGGAATGTTGTCTAACCATAGGGCTACTTCAGCATTAGTAGCTCTTACTATGTTGTAATAGTAAAAGAATCTAGGTTCAGTCATCCCATAAGCTGAAAAAAAAAATAATTAAATAATGAAAACTAATTATTAAATGTTTTAAAAAAAAGTAATGATAAAATTACCCATGTTGACGACATCCTTCTTTAGTGTTGCATTTTTGAATCGTCGCATGAAGTTTTGTGCAATCTGTCGAATACAATAGACATGGACAAAATTATTTTCTGTCCAACCACTTCCATTTCTTGAGTATGCACTTCGAATAGCCTCATGGTGATCAGAAATTAGGCACTACTCGTCTTGTGGTGTTACATACCGCCTTAAGTTCTTAAGAAAAAAAAATCATGCATTGTTAGTTTCACCTTCAACAACAGCAAATGCAATAAGAATAATGTTGTTGCGACCATCTTGCGCAACTGTGACCAATAATGTACCTTTGTATTTGCCGTATAAAAATGTTCCATCAACTTGAACAATTGGTTTAAAGAAGGCAAAACCATCAATACATGGTTTAAAGGTCCTGTAGACCCCTAAAATTGTCCGGGTCGGAAATAGGAGCCAGTTGCAACCATCTCAGCGGAGAAGGTAAGAACTTTTCTTTGGAAGAATGTGGTGTGCAGGTATGGAGTCCCTCAAATGCTCGTTTTCGATAATGGGACACAATTTGCAAGTACGAGAGTTCGTGATTTTTGCAAAGAGGTCGGCATCCGAATGGCATTCACTTCTGTTGAACACCCACAGTCTAACGGCCAGGCGGAGTCGGCCAACAAGGTAATCCTTTCAGGTTTGAAGAAGCGTGTGCAAGAGTCAGGCGCTTCATGGGTGGAGGAGCTTCCCCGAGTGTTATGGTCGTACCACACGACTGTTCATTCAACGACCCGAGACACTCCTTTCAATCTGGTGTACGAAACCGATGCCATGATCCCGATCGAAATTGCAGAGCCTTTATTGCGCGCTACGGCTTTTTCTGAAGAGGAATCCGACCAGGGAAGGCGAGTTGATTTAGACTTGATCGAAGAGACAAGAGAAAAAGCAAGAATAAATCAAGTAGCTGCCCAGAGGAGAGCCGCCTTCAAATACAACACAAAGGTGAATCCAAGAGACTTTATCGTAGGCGACCTAGTTTTGAGGCGTGCTCAGCTAACACAGATGAAGAACAAGCTGTCTCCTAAATGGGTTCGCCCCTATAAAATTGATTACGTGGTCGGCAAAGGGGCTTACCGACTGAGGACCTTGGATGGAGGTTTGATACCGAGAACGTGGAATGCTGCAAATTTGCACTTTTACTATAGCTAGTTTCTCTATATATTTGTATTAGGTGCACTCTTTTCCTAACTCAGTATTTTGTCCCCGTAAAAATATGAGGGGTTTTTGCTTAGAAGGTTTTTAATGAGGCACCGACCTTTTCAATTCTAATAAATGCCATCTCTCTGTTTCTTTCATTGTCTCCTAACACGTTATTTTAAAGGCACAAAAACTCGTGATTGTCGGCAAAAGTCCGACTGGGCGAGTATAAATAACTCGAAGACAAACTCGTGATTGTCGGCAAAAGTCCGACTGGGCGAGTATAAATAACTCGAAGACAAACTCGTGATTGTCGGCAAAAGTCCGACTGGGCGAGTATAAATAACTCGAAGACAAACTCGTGATTGTCGGCAAAAGTCCGACTGGGCGAGTATAAATAACTCGAAGACAAACTCGTGATTGTC